GAAGCAGCTTCAATGAGAGATCTGCACGAGAACACACAGGTGACAAAGCCAGCAAGTGCAAGGAGGCATGCGCCTGAGCTGGGAGGCGAGGCACGCACCGAATGAGGAGGAAAGGCCTCCTAGAGACGTTCTTAGACAAAGGCAGGACAGGCAGGGTGGGACTCCACAAACCAAAAAGCCAAACTCACTGCCACTGATTGATGGCAACTCACAGCTGCCCCTGTAAGACAGGGTAGAACTGCCCCTATGGGTTTCCAAAACTATAACCCTTTATGGTAGGAGCAAGCCTTATCTTTCTCCTGAGGAGCCGTCCGTGGTCTTCAAACTGCCGACCTTGCGGTTAGCAGTCCAAAGCAAAACCATAACCACCAGGGCTCACACAGTTGAGGTAGTTAAGCTTGTAAAACAATTGCCCATGGGACCATGTGAAACATGGATATAGGGGGGAGGGGGAATGGAGGGACCGAAAGGGCACAACCTTCATAAAGGACGGGTTCCATTCATTTCTACAGCACGACCCTGGAAAGAACAGCGAAATAAGGGCCCTTGAGACCACTAAGCATGGCATCGAGCCCACCCTTCAATGAGCTGTGATGGAGGGCTCTCAAGTCCCCAGCCCTCCTGGGGACTCTAAACATACACAGAGCAGGAACCACTGCTATGAAGCTACAAGGACCCGAAACCAACGACCCAGCACGAACTCCAATTTTCCTGAACACATGCAGATGTAAAGAAGCTGTCCAGCCTGCGCGTGAGCAGCAGAGGGCTTCCAGAAGCTCGTGGGGGAAATAGACTGAAAAGCTACACGGAGCCTATAGGAAAGGATGCCAAACCTCACTGCCATCCAAGTTCATACTGACTCATAAAGACGCTGTAAGATGGGGTAGAACTGCCTGTGGGTTTCTGAGACGGTAACTCTTTATGGCAGTAGAACGTCTCATCTTTCTGCAGACTCTACAAACAACTGGCCTGAGGTAGATCTAAGAAAATATCCCCGGAAGTGGAAAAAACAAACAACCTAGAACCAAAACTTTCAAAAAGAACTCTGCCACCTGAAAAGCAGACTGAGAAAAAAAACACAAAGGGGGAGGGGGTCCAGCAGCGTTATCTCAACAGTTACTAGTCCGGAAAAAATCCTCCAGGAAATTTTTTTGTTCATTTCCACCATGAAATTCTGCACCCGTTTGGTCACATTACTCAAAACCATGCATGTTGATGGGCTGAGGAGCTAGCTGTTCACACTACACTGCAAGATGCAGTGGGGAGGCCAGGGATCCCAGCCGTGCGTGTCTGGGAGCTGAAAGCCATTTGCATGACCGTTATCCCCCAGCTGATTTTGCAGAACCATCTGGCACAGCCGACTCACTTCCCAAAGTACCAAAGGATTCCTATAAATATGCCAGTGATGTCAAACAAATAATGATATGTACACTTAGGTCCCCAGCTCAATCATACTGGTCCAGGCAATTAAGAAGGTCTTCACACCAGTTTCAAAGTGATGACCCGGTACCTAAATTTAGTTGGCTGAAACCAGGGATGAACAAGAGCATTAGTTCGAATGGATCACCCAAGATGACTAGAACTTCCCAATCTCTCCTTGTCATTTCTGTTTGTCTTTTTTTTTTTTAAGTGCAATGAGTCATGGTATGTAGATCTTTCTCCTCTGCACCAAAATATAGTTTTCTTGCTTTGAATGAGAATGGCATTTAAACAAACATCATGGGGAAGTCTTGAGAGCCTTGTCCTTAGAAGCTAGCAATCCAAGCAGTCTGCAGCTCTGGGGAATCATAATGAGTTATCGTTATGACATGAGTTTTAACCTCAGTGGGCATTAGATTGCTTCCCATAATGGAAGCAGCTATAAAAACAAACGTCAATTCGAAAGAGTGGCCCATTTGAGAAAGCCTGCCTGGAACATGAAATAAATCTTGCTTTGAGTCAAGGGCTATTGTAGCCATCTCTTTCACGAGAAACAATCAAATCATTCACACTTGAAAGAGTGACCAATGTCAGAGAACCAAAGAATTCAGAGATGAGAGATATAGCCAAACACCGGATCCCAAGCCCTCTAAAACTTCAGACCGGCAAGGGATCGCATCCACGCCATTCCTTTAAGTCCTGTCGTTTCTCTTCCTAGCTTCTAAAACCAACCACCCTCTTGCCCTGCTTTTTTTTTTTTTTAAACATGGCATTCATCTTTGGGGTAGCCAGGCCACCTCAAACTCGAGACTCGCAAAAGTATTACTCCCATTTTTCAAACCAGACATACAACTGCTTAAATGTTAGAAAACAATTTTCACAGCTCTCTAAATTGTGTGCTCAGGCTGACTTTTTATAGCACCAAATGCTTATTAGTGTCTGGGCTATTATTAGCATTAAAGATTAAAAGCAGGTCTCCACTCACTATCAAACTGAGCTAGCAGCGAATCTTTGCCTGAAACATTTGCTTTCTAAGCCGCCACATGCCTCAGCACTCAAAATACCCCCCCTTGCCCTTTATTCTTTGCCCCTGGGGTCTCTGAATCTTTTTCTTCTCTGTGACAAAAGAAGTCGAGACAATGAGAGCCTATGATGGTGCTACCTCCCTATATCCAGTTCTGGGTAAAAACGACCATATAATCTTTCAAGTCACAGTAGGTTGCACGCTCCAAAAGCAATTCTGGGGTTAGCAGCCTCACTCTGACCTGACCTGCAGTAGTCACTTTTTGGGTTCCTTTCAAATTTCCATTCTCTGCCCAACCACAAGCACAGGACTGTTAATCCTAGAAAAATAAAGGTCAGAGAACTGACACACCACATGCAAATCTGGCCACTTTAGTCTCAATAGTGAAGTTGAATTCTGCGTTGTTTTTTAAATGCCAGTGTGATATAACAAACCTGCGAAGGAGAAGAGCTGCTAGCTTCAATTTTAGAATGCCTGCATGGTAAGAGGTAAGAAAAGTCCTCAGTGGACATTGCTCTACGGTCAAAAGAAACCACCGCGGGTCCTGTGGCAATCCATTAGGAAGCTGGGGAAATCTCAATCTAAAGCTATCTTGACTAACTCTTGTGGTTCCAGTGTGGTAGAGAGGCTTAAGAACAATGAGGGAAATTAATTGAAGACCAACACATGCTCCATGCTAGCAGCTCACTTTAACACAGAGTTAACCAAGGCTTGGGTGGGAGCATGCGGGCTTAACACAGCATGAAATTAAATTCAACCAAGACCTTATCTACAATAGGAATATGTTCCTGCATCAGTTTCAGTCCAAATGACTTTCTCCCCAGGGTCTCCCTCCACTCATGCCAGTCTATTTCATAGTCAATCTCCAGCACTTCAGACCAACGATTCTCATGAAAAGCCATTGGAGATTCAGTGGCATTAAAATTGATGCAGAAAATGTGCCCTTACCAGCTCAAAGTCACGAGTAGCATTCATTCAATTACCCCAGAGAGACCAGGCAGAGAATACAAATGTTTCTATTGATCCAACGTACTTACATTGATTACAGTGGCTGGGCAACATTAGAAATATTTTTTCTATCAGAAGATAACCTACAGTCCATGTAAAATGAGCCCTGTCCAAGAAGCCTGATGCATATCTACCCCAAGATTGCCAAAAAAAGAGAGGCTTTTGTTAGCCAAGCATCCTAATGAAGGGCTTAAAGCTCTTTTCCATTTTAAGAGGAGCTCAAAAGAGATTTTAATACTATCCCTAGCTGATGGACCCCACGCATTGCCTTCTGGGCTTAAACGGCAAAGAGGAAAAGGGGGGAAATAGAAAAAAAAGCAGTAACACACAAAACTACCTTCCCCCCATACACAAGTCACCAAACCTCTCTTCAGTCCACTGCTTATTTAAAATACGCCCTGCGGTTTGGGCTAACCCTCCCAGCCCCCGAAATGATATTTAATCGGGAGTGCCTATTTTCTTTAGGGGATTGAACTGCTTGTGGAAGCAGACCTCTACGTGTTTTTAATCTGTTGTTTTGGAGACGGGAGGGACCCCTCCCTTGCCGGCTTTATTTTTGAACCGCCTTAACCCACACGAGGGCTCAGAAGGCAGACTCTCAGCCTGTCGGGAGAGTGGGCTGTGCCCTGGAGCCAGATGCTATTTCAGGGAGTAAAACCTTCACTTGCTCGGTTCCCCACGCGAATGGTAGGATTTGGGCTCCAGCAGTGGTTTACTGGAGGCCTCCTGGCTGGAAAGCCTGATCCACTCGAGGCTTGCTGCTCCCGTCCTGACAGCGCACAAGCCTTCCTCTGACCCCCATTCCTCGAAGCTCCCGCTAAGGTAGCCCACCTTCCACCCAGCGGCTCGCGACCCCGTTAGGTGGCTTTGTTTTCTGCAGCATCTGTCACCATCTGAAATGATTTGTCTGCGTCCGTCTGACTAACCTATTCTACTCAGCTCTACAGGGACTCGAGCCCTTGCCTGTCTGGTTCGCCGCTCCTTCCAGGGCCAGGAGCTGGGACGAGCACGACGCCAATTCATATCCATTAAATGAATGAACAGGAAGGGGGAATGGGGCTGTCATCCTCGGAGCCCTCGGACAGACACGGGCACAGAAGGAAAGGAAATGCGAGGAGGGAGGGGGGTAGAGAAGCCGTTTCCCCCGGGAGACAAAGGAAAAGAGTCCCAGGTGGTCCCGTCTGGAAAGGAAGTCTCGGGGTGTTAAAGCCACCCCTGGGGACAAAGGGTGGCCCGGCAGGGGGGCGGGGTCGAGCTGCTGGGGATTCGCGCGGGCAGGCTAGTGGGCGGCCTCCGGGCTCGAGAGGTCACCCGGGCGGGAGAATAGGAAGTAGGTGGGAGATCTCGGGGGGATGCGAGGCCCGAGCGGAACGCAGGCCCACCCGAGGGGACAAAGAGGGAGCAAGGCGGCTTCGGCCGCGGTCGGATCGAATCCTCTCCGAGGGCCATGCTGAGGGCGGGATCCAGAGGGAGAACAGAGCGCGGGATGCTGAGGGGGGTTCCCGCGGCCTAAGCGAGCAGCCTGCCGCGCTCCGGGGCGCTCCCGCACCTGGTAAATGGCCGCCCAGCTACCAGACTTGTCGATCTGCTCGAACTCCTTTTCCATCTCCATGACGGGCCAGGGCGGCTGCCGCGTCTCCTCCTCGGCCCACTGCGCCGAACCCCGCGTCAGGCCGGGCCGCGATCTCAGCCCGCTACCCCACCGCAAGCCTGGCCTCTCGCCGCTACCGCCGCTCCAGCCGCCGCTGCTTCTTCATGTCAACCCGGCAGCCGGAAGTACGCACCGCGCCTGTCGAGAGCTCCGCCCTCTGCTCCGAAGGACCAATTGGAGCTCGGGAATCTTTGCAAGCACTTCCGCGGGGCGGAGTCCCGAGGAGGTGCTGGGGAAGTGGCCTCAGCCCCGCGAGACGTTGAGCAGAGCGCACTTCCCCCTCCCTCCGGGGCTCCGGGCTCGGGCGTGGCGCCCTCCCGTTGCCTAGGCGACTCCTGGGCACCCAGCCCGCGGCGCAATGCTTGGCAAGGCCTGGCAAGGTTTGGGTGGGTCTTGAATTCGAGTCTCAACTCGGCCCCTTGAGTCACGGAGTGACCTTGAAATAGGCACTCCTCCTTCTTGCAGTGCCAAGGGTCCTGGCCTCCGTGTTCCAAGCTGAAATATGGGCCCGGCAGAGAGGATTGCATGCCACATTCGCCTGGCTCCCAGCACTGGCCAGAGGAGGCTCGCCTTGTTTTCATGAAACATAGGAAAGTCTTATGAAGAGCCATTATTCCTAAAGGTAGGGTCTCTGTTTCAAATGCACGATTTCCCTGTGGGATCTTGGACTCTAAGCGTTTCAGGAGTGCAACCCTGGAATGACCTCATTGTCGATATTTCCCAAAGCATCAATGAAAGCCCACCTTGACCTTGCTCAGACTGTACCTGCGGAGCACCAATTCCACATGGCATTATAATCACCTGGGGAAGTGTGAATGATGTAGGTTTCTGGGACCACCTCCAAGGTGTGGGGGAGAGGCCCAGGGTGTGTATTCCTCACTGATCACGCCTGCCCTCGACCCCGTGGAATGCTAATGCCCTAGTCCTTGGAGCACACAGGAAGGAGGGCCGGTCACGTGACCCTCCTGTAGCCTGCATTTAAACCCCCAGCGTTGGCGTGTCACGTTCCGTGGAGCCTGGGAACTCCATGGGGTCAAACCCTGAAGACCAATCATCATTTCCTGTCCCCATTCCAGTCCTCCTAGAGCGACTACCTGGAATTCTTGATTGAATTCCAGCTCATTTCCTGAGTTCTTGTGGTGGCGCTGTGCCTGACATTCTAAGTACACATGCTCATCAAATCCCTCCAGGGGGGCAGGGGGGTAGGGGGTGGGGGGCAACAACCCTAGGAACAGTTACTGTTATTACACCCACTTTACAGATGAGGACTGCAAGGCACAATGACTGACTCAGACTAGCAGTGCTTAAAGTATGGAAGATAGGATTCTAACCCTGTCTCCAGGCTGTGGAGCCAGTTTGCCTGGGTCCCCATTCCATCTTTGCTAAATACTAGCTGTGAAGTCTGGGGCAAATTCCCTAACATTTCTGTGCCTCCTTTGTAAAATTCTGGTAATGAAAGTACCCACCTGACCAGGGCAGTGTGAGGAGTGAATGAGTGAATCCCTGTCATGCACTCAGTATGTTAGGTTGCTTAATAAAGATTAGTTGTCATTATTATATACCTTCGAATCATAACAAATGGGACTATGACCCAGCGTTCCCTCTGCTGGGTGTATAACCCAGAGAAGTCAGAATCAGAGCATGAACATAGCCTATCGCAGCACTTTTCACAGTAACAAGACCATGGAAACAACCTAAATGCCCATTGATGGAGACATGAATGGATTGAGAAACTTTGGTCCCTATGCACAGAGGAGTACTGTGCCATGAAGCACCGCGTGGCATGGGTGAACTTGGAGAGCATTATACTGAGTGAAATTAGTCAATCACAAAATGTCAAATAGTGTATGAGACTGCTATAAAGAAAACAAAGCCAGACATTTATCCCAAAGGAAACAGATTTTAGGTTACCCAGGGCGGGGTGGGGGTGGGGGGGGCGCAGAAGATGAAGCTGTAGGCTCAAGGGCAGGCTGGCGGGAACTTGGGTGAAGGGGATGATCATATTCCATAAGAGAAATCGGGGGTGGGGGGCAGTAAGCTCTTGAAGGGATTGATAAGTCGCTTAAATTTCGGAATACGAAGTTGATTATCTGAAATGTTAACCCCTACCTAATTCACAATTCTAAAAAAAAATTGAAAACAAAACACAAATAAGAAATAAGTGAATTTCTATTTAATAAATGGAACTAGTCTACAAGGCATGGCCTTTAGATACGGAGGGTCCCCAGGGAGGAGCCGTGTTGGCCAGAGATGCCCATGGACTGGCCATGACCCACAGCAACAACGTGTATGTGGACCGTGAGGAACCATGAGCTCCTGGAGTAAAGGGAAGCGGCTGGTTCGTTTCCAGTGTGTTCCATGGAGCTAAGGAAGGGAGTAAGAGCCCATCTTGAGCCCAAGTGGCCCTTGTGCCTGCAGGAAATGTCACTCAGTGGCTGGAGTAGCCATCAAGCAAGGCCAAAGCTATGTCAGGAGCTTGAGGGGAGAGTGGGGGAGGGCAGGATCCACATTTGGCCTGTCATGGCCCTGTGCTCATTAACAGACTCATTAACTGTCACAAATCACCTCACACTTGGTGACTAGAAACAACAGAAAACACCTTCTGTCAAAAGCCCTCAAGTCAGGACCCTGGAATCATGGTGTCGGTAGGGCCACACTCTGTCTGAAGTTTCAAGAGGATAATCCTTCTCGGCTTCCTGCAGCTTCTGGCCACTCCGGCTCCTCCTTGACTGTGGCAGCACCACTTCAGTCTCTGCCTCTGCTTTTACATGGGCTCCTCCTCTGTTATATGCTCTATAACATGTTCTAGATGTTTTAACTCAAACCAAACCAAGCTCACTCCCATCCAGTTGATTCTGACTCAGGGAGAGCCTTATAGGGCAGAGTAGAACTGCCCCTGTGGGTTTCCGAGACTGTAACTCTTTACGGAAGTAGAAAGCCTCATCTTTCTCCCAAGGAGCGGCTGGTGGTTTTGAAGTGCTGGCCTCACAGTCAGCAGCCAATGTGTAACCACTACACCACCCAGGTTCCTCCTGTTATAAAGACACTCAGTATTAGATTTCTGACCCAGGATGATGCTAATAATTTATGCTCGCTACTGTGGAATAAACATTGGACTAACAGCCACAAGATCGGTTCAAACCCACCAGCTGCTCCATGGGAGAAAGATAAGGTTGTCTGTGTCTGTAAATATTTGCAATCTCAGTGGTTATGTGCTGGGCTGCTAACCGAGAGGTCAGCAGTTCAAAATCACCAGCTGCTCCTCGGGAGAAAGAGGAGGCTTTGCACTTCCTGAAGAGTTACAGTCTCAGAAACCCACAGGGGCAGTTCTACTCTGTCTTGTAGGGCTGTTCCGAGTTGGAATTAACTTGATGGCAGTGAGATTGTTTTTCTTTCCTTGGTTTTCTTGAGGAGTTAGGACCAGGAAGGCTGGCACTCAACCCACTACAAAAGGCAGAGGGTGCAAGCTTGTCACAGAATTGATGCCAAATGTAACTCATCATTTCATTTCCATACCAGCTAAATCTCTTCCACATCTGTTTTGGACATAGTAACAGCCAGAGAGCGCTTTTAATATTTGGAAGGGGAAACTCTCAGGTAAAAACTGCCTGTGTGCCCTGTGCCCCGCCCTGACCACTCCCCCAGCCTCCTTCCCCTGCTTCTGTGCCCCTCTCCTCCTCCCCTGGCTCCAGTAGCCCGAGTCCTCTGGTTTGGGCCCCCCAAATCCACCAGGCTAGTTTCCACATCAGCTGCTCTTTCTGCTCGGATCACTTACATCACTCAGCGTCACAGGTCGAACGTCGCGCCCCCCCCCACCCCGCCAGGCCTTTCTACCCTGAAGTCCCACTCTGAAGTGGCCCCTGTGACTCTGTGTTGGCATCATGGCACTCTCCAAACCAAGCTCACTGCCCTCGAGTCGATTCCTGCAGGACAGGGCAGAACCTCCCTGGTGGGTTTCAGCCTGTAACTTTCTTTACAGGATAGAAATTTGTCTCTCTCTCTCTCTCTCTCTCTGAGTGGCTGGTGGTTTCGAACTGCTGACTTTGAGGTTAGCAGTCCAATGTGCCACTTACTGCACTGCCAGAACTTTTTTAAATGCCTCCATTTACCCCCACCCCTCACCACCACCCTTTCTCCAGCTCTTTCTGCCCACTGACTGTTCCTGGGAGGACAGGGACCTCAGCTTCTTGTCTGTGTCCCAAGCACCTGGTGTTGTCATCATAGGAAGAGGGGTATGAGTGTTGGCTTTGATCTGCAAAGCTCCTCGCTTCCCCGCCAAGGCCTGGCCTGGACCCAGCCAAGCCCCAGGTCTCCCCCAGCGGACTGCTGCTGGTGGATGGGAACCTTTCAGTGGTGACTGGTTAGAAAAATTAACAAAGAACTGCGTGTGTCACAAGCACTAGAACCTCTTCCGGGCAGGCTTCTCTGGCCTTTCCCTCACAGATTCCGCTAATGGAGGAGATCGGCCCTGCCGATCAATGACCCATTACCCGCTGAAAAATATCCTACGGAGTGGGGAAGAGCGGCTTTTTACCAAGCCTCCCAAGGACCAGTGGGTGGCTTAGCAGCGTCAGCACCCGAGAGTGGCCTGGTCATGTGGTCCAGGCCTTGCACAGTGTCAAGAGCTCCAGAGCCAAACTAGGTCTCAGCTCAAATGTCAGCTCCTCAGAGCCAGCCCCTCTGACCCCTCCTCATCAACAGAGTCCCCATCACGCTGGCCCTTGTCCTCCTAAGCAATTATCAGGAAACGGTGAGCGTGTTTCTCCTTGCGTTAACCAAACCCAAACAAGACCAGTTGCTAGTGAGTCGGCCCCACCCCCTGCCCACCCCCACCCAAATGGGGGTCAGAGCAGGAGTGGACTCCTTACTGTTTACAATGGCTGCCTTTGCACAAATAGATTCCCAGCCCCTTCTTCCAGGGCACTGCTGGGGAGACTTGAACTGCCAGCCCTTAAGTTAGCAGCTGAGCACTTGGTTGGTTTCACCCCCCAGGGACCTCCTCCTTAGAGTTGCCATGTTATGCGGGTGGGGGTGGAGGGTGGCTTCAAAAAGTTCGTGGGAAACCATAATGAAAAGATGATGTCATTTGTCTC